AAAATATAAATATTTTGATTATTTTCAAGTTGTTGCTCAATTTTAATAAAATTTGATATAAACATATAAAGTGATATAAACTTTCAATCTAACAATTGAATTTATAAAATTTACTTTTAATATAAAATTATTCAATAGTGTAATACTTAATAAACCGGTATTATTTGAACATTCTTCTTTGACATTAATTTCTTTGTTATTAATATGATTTAATATTAACTTATTAATATGATTTAATATTTTTAATACGGTAGTGGTCTCAAATTTAAATAATGTGTAAATAATTATTATATTAAATACTCATAAAAACAACTTTTATTGTACGTTGAACTATTTAACTTGAACACGATTACTTATAGTGAAATACTTGTATTTTCTACATTAAAATAAAATAAAATTAATGTTCACTAAAATTAAAATATTTCAAGATTGAGTATAATAATTTCTAGTTCATTATTTTTAATACTTTTTTTTTAACTATTGAGATACAGATAAAAAAGTCCAAAATGATGTCATATTTTAAAAATTAATCAAATAAGTTGTGAATAAAAAGAAAATAAATTTATTTGATATGTATACAAAATAATCAAAACTAAAAGATTTTTGTTTATAGTTGCAAAAAAAAAAAAAATCTTTAACTGAATATGTGATTCCACCATTATCATCATTTTCATCACCAAGAAAAGTGCAATATTTCTTGAATTTATTTTCTTTTTAAAATTGATTAAATTAAACTAACACTTTCTAAGATTTTATCAAATTACATGCACACCCGTTGTTTTTCCTATTCTTAAACTCACTTTTTCAATTGTTTGAAAAATCATTACACAAATACTTCTAATCCTCTTATTTTGTTTCATTATACAAATGAAAAATATTTCTCATCTAATTACATTATGAAATATATAATTAGCAAACCCTATAATTAATCATGCTCAGCCTTTTTCTATTATCATAATTATTATTAGTAACAAAAAATATTTTTAATTTATATCTCTTAATTTTTATAAATTAAAAATAAAATAAATAAATGATTACGCGTGATTGTTCGGAGAGAACATAAGATTTTTTTTTTTAATATTTGAGGGATATAAAATAACATTTACAAACCTTATATAGATGTATAGATATAATCATAATGAGTCCTTATCTAAATCCAACCATATCATTTTACAAAGCCTTAATTAGAAAATAATACAAAGGATGTGTTTGTTTCAAGCAATATTTTAATATTCTGGAGAATGTAAATGTAAGGATATCCATTTCCATATCTGTTAGAAGGTTATAAAAAGATATTTTTAGGTAAAACTTTCACAATTGACATACTTCTCATTCCCATGGTAAAAGATAAGTATCTTATATTCCTATGGAAATAAAAGTCACCTTTCATAATAACTACCTGTTTTCACTAATTATTATAATTTTTTTCATTTATTTTTATTTTTTAATTAAATAAAAAATATTTTGTTTTCTAAAATTAACAATCTCAACCAAACACGTTTACAAAAACAATATTCCTAATATAACATTTCTAATAATAAATTTTTTAGAAATACAGTAGGAAATTTCGTTTCAAGTATAACACAGTAGGAAATTTCCTGATTTATAATGCATCCACTACGTAAATCACTGTACACGTGTGACCAACCGACCTAGGAAAAACAAAATTTGAAGGTTTTTCTTAAATCTCAGAGTTTAGTTTTTCACGTACGTCCATCATTCTCATGCATCATGGGTGCTTGGTGGTATGATATATGATATATATTATATGTATAATGAACCAAAAGGGAAGCTTTAAGATTAAAAGAATATAAATTCCATTATTCTTTATATAAAAAAGTATACACCATCCCTAATCCACCAAACAGAAAACATATCTAATCAAAGATCATATCATCGATCCTACAAAGTAAGCCCAAGTCTCCCTAGACTCAATAATAAACGAATAGACGAACACATAGACAATACTAATCAACGAAGAAAAAAAAGAATTGAAATAGATATTTACAAGGAATATTGAAAGAGAAGCTGCAAGTAATATAATCAACGTTTCTGGGTGGTTTTGTTGTACTTGGTCTTGATCCATTGGAGGCCCACGGAGGTACCCTCCTTCAACTTCTTCACCCCAGTGGAAGCCACTGCCTTGGTCTTTCCGAGGGCGTTGTTGCTCTTTTTCTTTGATTCATGAGACTCGGTTACAGTGTCAGGCCCATTATCCCACTGGTCGGCCCAAGATGATTCATAGGATCCCATTCTCTCTTCTGTTAACACAAAAAAATTTCCCTTTAATATGCGACGAGATGGCTGAAAAGATGAAGTGAGAAGTGAGAGCACAAGGATTTTTGATGTGTGTGTTTGTAGATGGAGTTTGAGACTCGTTCAATGCGCTTTTATAGGACTAGTTCAATTAGTTCACAAAGGAATCTACCAAATCTTAACGCATGGATTGAGGTTAATGATGTGTGGACACACGAAACCGCATCAGCAAGAAAACTCGTTTTCCCATTTACTATTTCTCTGCTGGAACCTTCTAGAAGACCGTGTATTTTTCTAATGTAATTAATTTTTTCTTATGAAGAAAGTTTTGGTCCGAAAAGCCATTTGATGCGTGCGCTTACGTAGAAATACGACTCGGGGCTTGTTTTTTATGCCTTGCCAGCTACGCAGCTGTGTTCTGAGAAGGCTCTAGGACCCATTCGGGTGGTTTCTATTGTCAAAGTTCAAACAGTTCATAGAATATAAAAAAAAAATAGAATAAGGAAAAAGTCAAATTGGACCACCCATGGTATAGAGAATAATAATAGTATTACGTAGTGAAGAAATTGAAAGCGTTCCAGAATCCAGAATGCTTGTGCGGGATTCTCAACCCAATGGACTAGTTACCCTGGTCCAGGGGTTTTAGTGACAGTTGGCCAGCTTCGGATATGTTCCTTTTCTCTTTACTCTTTTTTTTAGGGTGGTGGGTAGGTGAATTGTCTAGTATAGATTTTTGAAAAACTAATTTTCGACAAACAATATTTTGCGTCTGGAAACTTCTAAAAGTTAATTTAGAAAAATTGATTCAACAAAAACAAAAAAACTAAGCTTGTTAGATTAAGAGTTTGGTTCATTGATTGTTCTTTAATTAAATTTAGAAGATATATTGGTTTAGGATTTCATAAAATTTTAAAATTTTTTTAAGTAAAAAAGTTTATTAGTATTTAATTAGGATTTTATGTCATTTAAAAATAATCAAGTGATTCAATATGAATTTTCAAGATTTTTTAAAGAGTTTATTAAAATTTATTAGTATTCATTTAAGACTTTTTACAACTTAAAAATGATTCGTCATTGATATTAAAAAAATATAAGATTTTAAAGGATCGTCCTATTAGAAGGATTTTAAAAGATTTTTTAGTGGTATCTATAAATACCAAATTCATAAAACAATCTCATCTAAACCCATCAGATTTTGGATCAAGTGTTTCAAAAATTTTTAATTGAGTTATTTATTTATTTATTTATTTTTTCTATACTTCTGTCTTTTCTATTTTTTTCCTACTAATAATACTGCACTACTACTCATAATAACACTTTAATACTATTTTCATTCCATTCTCTCTATTTGGTGAAACTACAATATGTAAATGACAGTACCACTGACTTGTTATATTTTTCTGTCGTTCTCATTAATTGACTTGCTCTATTTTGCTTTATTTTGTTCCTCAGATATATAACACAGAAAATTCTTGAAATTTTAACTTTTAAAAAGTAATTTTTTTTATAACAAACGTCAAGAAAAGAGAAAGGTAAAAGCTGAAGTTGATATTATGATTCCTACAATCAACGGTAGATCTTCCAGACCTAGTAATCAATTTAGATTTATTAGAACAATATATATATATATATATATATATAAGATGAATTTGAGTTTGTTACTATTATCTCTCTTCCTTTTATGACTTAATAATTATTTTTTCTTTTTTTTTACTATGATTTTTTTTTTAATTTCTATATTGTGAAATTATGATATTTTTTATATTTTAAAAAGGAAATTAACATTAGACATTACGGCATATTAAAATTTAATACTAAAAATATTTCTTTGCGAATGAATAATTGAAAGCTATTAAAAAATTAAATAAAATTGTTTTTGTATATGTAAAAAATTTCAGATATATTTTTCCTTCTCCTAGTTAATGTTTGTGAATTTTTAAGATATTTTAAATGAATAAAAGTGCATGAAAAACACACTTTCATTCAAATACCGATATAAAATCAAGGACATATTTAGTTATAAGAGAGTAGGACAGCTGTTCCACTATTTTTTAATCATTTATAAATAAAACATTTTAAATCACAAATTATAAACAACTTGAAATGTTTAGAATTTTTTTTAGCATGCGCAACAATACATAACTTTTCTCGTAAAAAATGTAATTTTAATGAATTTGCAATTAGAACGATAAACAAACCTTCATCTTCAACATTATCGATTAATGAAGATCATAATTTTGAGTTTATTATTCAAACCGAGGAACAAGAGTGAGACATTAATGCTTGAAAGACTAGTGTAGCTATGAATATGTGAATGAATGCTATTTAAAAGGACATAATATTACAAAAAATTATTATTATTATTATTATTATTTATCCAGACATTATTTTTTTTATATATTATTTTTGCCTTTAACACTTTTTAAATTTGAATGTATGAAAAAAAATCTTAAACTCTTATCGTATGTCAAAAACTTACAAAATTTTGCAAAATCCAATCTCTAGAATCTATTAAAATCCTAACTTAAAAGTCTTGTAAAATATATTAAAATCCTAATTTAAAATTTTACAAAATCTTATAAAATCTTAAAAGTCATGAAAATCTTACAAAATCTTTTAAAATTCACATAACTTTTTTTAATTAAAAAAGTCCTTTAAAATCTTAATCTAATAAATCACTAATTAAATGGTTCACAAGGCTGTCTTCAATACTTGTAATACATTGATTTTTCTCGGGTGAACATACTAGAAAATACCTGGCACATTTGCCAACTTTACATTTTGCAATTTACACGAATGGAAATCTATCGTTTCCTTTCCAAATCGTCAAGGTGATTACGAAAAAGAAAATTGGCACCGGAATATGGAAACTGAAAATCTGCTGAGAGGTGAACCAGATTAATGAAATAGTCTGGTTTCATATTCATATAAGTATGTTTTATTCAAATTTCATTTATTTTTGTAGTTCAGTATTCCAGTATAAGCTTTGTTTCAGGATTGCTCGGGTCCAGGTATTTGTTAAAGAGCCACCGAGAAGTATTCAGAGCATCTCCCCTACTTTCCACTGGAAAAATATTCCTACGGCTTTGCCATCCATTAGTAAGCTTAATCCACTCCCTCCTCCATTCCAATAGCTTGAAATCTTCACCTTGCTCCAAGCTTTCTCTTAAATATTTAAAATAAATGGCAGCTCTGGGACCATAGTAATCATGTAGAAGCCCGCTCCAGTACTTGTTTCCTGTGGAAAGAAGTTGAATAACATACCAAAACATCACACAGAAGCTATTGATAGAGAAAGGGGAGTGCTTACTAAGTTACCATTTACGAAAGCAAAAGATAAATAAGCCTTTACTTCATAATATAGCAAGCTATTATCTGTTATTCATACCATAGTCACGAAGCAGACTGGCTTCCTCTACTGAGTTGTCAAACCACATGGTGATTTGTGTTCTAGCATTCCACTCAAACTGTAAACGTTTAGGTTACATCAATAGAAGTATAGAACAGGTGGATTTTCAATTTGTGCCAATTCAAGAAAATCAAACCTGTCTCTCTTGTTCTTCATTTTGAGCTAGTTGCTTTGCACTTTCTAACCAAGGTCCTAGAAGAAACCCATCATGGCAAGCCAACAGAGTGTCCAAATCTTCCACTAGGTCCAGAAATCTCTGGCTGAGGAGGGTCATTCCATGGACATCATGTGATTGGTATGCCTCTACAACCTTAAAGAACAATTCATTTGCGTATTTTGCCAAGACTTGTCTAGTCAGATCAACCAGGTCATACCTGAGTAAAGAATAAATAGCATGGATCTGAATATCAAACCACAACATTGAGTTACATTTTGCTGAATGCTGAAACAAGAGCAAGAATTTTTGTATAATCAATTTCTCTCACCTATAAGTATTACATCTTGAAAGTTCATCTCCACTTGTTATAAATAGCTTCAATGCGTAAATTACTTTGGAAGTTGAATACCACAAATGTGGTGTCTCAAATTGATCAGTTATTTCCTTGATAATTGTTCGTGATTTAGGCTTGTCATATTGGCGAGATCGCTCATGCTGTAATGAAATTAAGGAAGGGTCAACATCTGGGAATGCTACGATGACATCTCTGTTCTTGTCCTGTTCACAAACACCAATAATATTTGGTTAAACTAAAATATGATGCACTAATTTATACATGTTTAGTTAGGAGTAGAACTAAGCATAAGGTGTACAATTGAGATTGTCACTTTTGTAGTTATTGGTCAAATTAAAACAGCAAATAAACTGGCCAAATCAACGTGATTTATCCTTTCTGTTTCTTGATTTGTACACATCAAGGCAAAATGAAGTGCATTTTTTTTTGTTAACAAAAATGCATTATAAAAGGATACAGTAATAAAAGGGATAACAGTAAATGAGAAATGACAGAAGTTGAACACACGATTACATAGAAAGTTTTTCTATTGCAAGATTAACTGAAAGAAATTACTAATCCGATTCAGGGGCAGGTTGTTGTATCAATCAAGAACTTACATAGGCTCCATCAGTGCAATTGTAAATGGTGTGATACAAGACATTCCATCCCTCTTGTATTAAAGGAAGTGGCTGTCCATATCGTCTAGTTGAATACACATCAACCCATGCCTGAAAAAGGAATGATCATCACGCACTTCAATCTTAAAATATTATCAAGTTAGTGAAAATTGAAGATAGAAATGAAATAAAGAAAAAGTTTTCTATCCTGTGTACCAAATGCATATAAGGGAACAAGAATAGATAGATATTAATGGGAAAGAAAACATTAATTGTATTGAAAATATAAAAGCCATTTAATGCTAGCTTTTTCAAGTATTTGAAAGCATTTAAAAGGATATATTTAATGTCCCTTTACACATAAAAGAAAGCATGGATTCAGTAGAAGGTATTCAGTGTTACAACTATAGTTATTAACAGTAGAAACCAAACATTATTGTAAAGGAGAAATGACAGAACTATGGTAAGCTAAAATGGGCACCTACCGTGGTTGTATGGGAGCTCTAATGAATGATACCTATACACAAGCATACTTTCCTGTACACTATATAGTTAAACCCAAATGCTCTATCAGATATGTCAAATAAAATCACAAACGGAATTTCTTATAAAAATATTACCAAAGGAATATACAATATTGTTCCCTTGGTTATGCTGATTTACTCAAGGTCAAGGCAGATATATAATTTCTGATCAAAATTATCAGCAAAACGGGGTTCAGATATATTCTATTGTTCTGGAAACACGAAATTGCATGCATGGGAGGAGAGAGAAAAGAAAGCAAGTTGGAATTACTTCTGAATTCCAAAAATTACCTAGTAGAGATGGATGATTAAATTGATATGGTATAAAGTTTCTCCTAAACGAAACTTGGAAAACAATAAAAGTACATTCAACGCTGAACAGATTTGGCACCCACAATATGGGGGTTTCCTCAGGTCACACAAGATCCTCCCCATCAGGAGAACATAAGAAAACCATAAGTGAATAAATGCAACCTCTTGGCACCAAGATTCTCTTATATTACCTTAACATCAATTTTCTTGTCTTGAAATGCCATTTCAGACATCAAATCATAGACAATGGGATTCTGTTCTATACCTTCCATAGACATTCCAACTCCAACCTTCACAAAATCAAATAGCTGATAATAAGTATGAAAAATTAATAGCAGAATGACTTGCGAAAATAATAATATCATCTAGAGCATGATCCATATTCTGATGGAGAGTGGAGAAGAGAGCAGATTGAAAAATATTGCTTATATTGGGCAGATAACATTGAACTAGAAATGACACTTTTCAGATCAACCCAAGTCTGAACAAGTAGATTACATTTGTAGATTTCAAAGTGACTATACATCTACTTATGTGAGTAGATGCACTGACTTCAAATGTGGAAAATGCATACACATTTTTTTTTAGGACGTTAGATATTAGATTAGGATTAAGAGTTTATTGCTTATTCCCTTAGCCTAACTTGAAAGATAAATAGATATTGGTGTTTCAAAATCACAATCATATATAGTGCACCAAATCAATCGGGAGAAACTACTTAATATAAAATTGAATCGCAAGTATAAATGAATAACTTGCCATTGTTGAGTTAATACTATTGCGTGCATCAATTGGCCCAGATGCAATGGCATCTAATATCCCATACATCTCGATGTTTCCTGCAAAATTGTGCAGCATACACCTGTCAAGCATAATACACCCAGTCAGTGAAAACAACATTGAATAAATTTATTATATATCAAGAGTTAGAACAAGCCACAGCCGTTATTATCAAGCAATTTGTAGGGAAGTCCACCAACGCTAGTTACCATATGTAACAATTTTGTAAGCTATACAAAGCAGCTATTTCTATGGACCACAGGTTTAAGCCGCTGAATGCTAGACTAAGCTAACTTCGAACTAAGTTCTGCTGCTGCTGAAGGTAATCACACAATATGAGAACATCGGAAAAATGTATTCATATTTTCTATGCCAAATATATATTTGTGTGTGTGGAGGCCTATATATGGATAAAGCTATCAACAAAGATGACATTATTATTTTTAATAATAAATATAAAATAGAAAATGACTTTCCAGATGTAGGGAACTCCATAAAACTGTTCTGAGGTAACCCAAATGGGTTTTACTTCAGCAAACAGGTCAAGAACCACCAGCTTTCCAACAGGAACAGAATGTAAAAGGGCCTGAAAACAAGAACAAATAAGAATCGTATACGAGTGATAAGTTATAAGGAATAACCAAGGTGACTTCATACTTCTAGAAAACATTTATACTAACTAGCAAATACATCTGTCCACATATTTATATGTATGATTCTAGCCACTATCTTACACTGGCAATGAAAGAAGAAAAAGAAAAGTGTCGTGCAGATTGCTAGTTATAGTCTGTATGCATGATGGAGATTCTAAGTAAACATTAAATTTTAGTTGGAAAAACCATAAACATGGAGTTTAATATAATTGAAATCCTTGAAATAAAGACCGAAATAAACCAAGGCAGAAAAATGGTTAGCATAGACAGATCTAAGACAAGCTTTGCTTATTTTAAGACTAGATGCGAAAAAAAAGCAATATTGTTGGGAGGTCAATAATTATGATATGAATATAACCTTCATTTGAGGAGGTCTCCAGAATGGGTCATATGAAAATAGCCATCCCTGCATAAATTAAATAGGACGATTAAGAGTTTGGTGGATGGATAATTCCACTTGCATGAACATATATGGTTATATACAAAAGCTAGCACTTAGCAGCATCAAATCAAGGTTAAACAATAACAATAATAAAATGAACTATTTTCTATAACCTGCATCAGCCACACAGCATCATCATCACCACTCTGCATTCCTTTAAAAGTTGCTGCACCTAATGATGAAATGTACTCAGGATCATCAATGGGCGGGGTGTTCTCATCAAAAGTATCACTGTGATTGGTCCAACATACTCTACGTTAGTGAATGAGTTATGAGTGTTTCCTTTATGAACAAAAGCTTAAAGGGTGTTGGTGCATATGCATATAAACCATAATTCAAATGCACCAGTGATTTTTAACTGAAAAGATTTTCTAATGAAAGAAGTACTCTGAATCATCAATGGGCAGGGTGTTATGATACAAACCCAAATCTCACAGTAGCAATTAACAGGGAAAACAGATCAATAATGGAAAATAGGGTCTATATCTGAAGAAAAACAGGAAATTACAGTGGAATAAATATCCTACTGCTACAGAGCTAAGCTGCTTCAGAGAACCCAAGCCTTCTGCCCATAACAAACCAATTGATTCTATCAGATACCCTTTCTCTCTCCCCTAATTTCCTATAACAGAATCCCATCACACAAGTCACACACCCTGTCAGTTATTGCGACATCAGTATTCTCACTTTGGACCCTCCTATTCTTTCTAGCGCATAATGAGCTACAACATAATGGCTTGGGCAGTTGAGGTGCAAAGTGCCCATTTGGACCCAAATCCATCTGAGGTCCTACCATTGCCACCCTCTTGAAAAACAGACGTCCTCAAGTCTGAACTTAGGAACCATAATGCATATGCATATAAACCATAATTCAAATGCCTGATGATTTTTAACTGAAAAGATTTTTAATATATAAGTACTCATGAATATAAAGTGCAATGGTGCATATGCATATAATTTATAAACTGTTATTGACACATACATTTTTATTATTAATCTTACCCCCTCTAACTCCATAAGAAAGACAAATTAAAGTAAAAATGTAACTTAAAACTTGACTAACTGTTCTCAACGAGAACTTCATTTTTCCATTTATCACAAATCTTTTGTTCTAATAATATTGATGAGATATTGGTAACTTGAGAAAGAAAAATTAAAAAAAGAAACATGTTGAGAAATGAGAATGAATCAAGGAGTGTTCTACTGGTGACAGTTATATATAATTGATGAATGAAAGAACCTTAGAATCATGAACAGGAAAGTTCTGATAACCAAGCATGAAACTGACTGATATGCATTATTAATATCTACATAGACCTAAGTTAGGTCACTTAACTAATACCATTGCATGCCAGGAGGAAACAGATGTACAATATATCATGTCAAAAGAAAACAAGTGTTCCATAAGTATTCCTTGTAACAAAATGCAGCAATTTGTATAAATATTTCAGCAATAAAAAAATTAAAATACATGTTTTAAAATTTATGAGTAAAGAAAAACTTACCAGTTGTAAATGTGGCTGGTTCTTCCATACTCTGGGTCAAAAGATAATCAAATATCACAAACAGTTAAATTGGTATCCATATATTTATTACAAAATATTTTTGCATATCATTTTACTGCATCAAGCAACTCAGCTAATGAAGTTTAAAAGAAGCGTTTATGTGATATCACCTTGCAGTTGTTTCTCAATGAATGCTTTCCCAATCTCGATGAACAAAGAATCAGTTGCATCAAGAAGATAGGTGCAGCACCATTTGAGGTCATTCTTGACAGAAAACCTATAGCAGGATGTAAAAAGGGTCAATATAGTCAGTATAGTGGGTGCTTATGAATGTAGATATGACAATTTAATACCATTACAGACTATGATGTCATTTTTTATGGTTTTTCCACTAGCTACAGGGTCACAAATCTTTGTTATCACTTCATGGTTCAAGCATTATTAAAGTTTTGAGTTTAATGCTATAGTTCAAGATGCTCATTCTTAGAATTTGGACTTGTACCACTTAAGCTATAAAGTTCTATTTATGCCATTCTCTAGTCAATTGGGACTAAACACCATCCCTAAAGCTGCAATTAAGGAAAACACCAAAGATGCTGCAACTAAGGTGGCTAGGGGTGACCACAATTAAGGTGGATTTCCAACACAAGTATATATGTGATTGTCTACCCTATTCTACAAGCATGATTCCCTGATTTTCTTCAGGTTTGTTCTCAGAAATTGGTGGAGTTCAATAACACATTAGTGTTGCACTTTGCATGAATTAGGTTTGCTGTACAAGTCTGGGGGTGTCAACAATGTTGGGTAAAGCAAAATCATAGGCTGCTAGGATTTAATACATTCATGATTGATCTCAGTGATGTGTACTGGGAGTTAAATCCATAAAAATCTTTATTTCTAGAAATTACCAGCCTAGAAAAATTGTCTATTTTTAGGTGTGAGATGATGTTTTTACATTTTGTAGATTGAACGTTGAAGAGTGCACAGCTGCTAAACATACAAGTTACTTCTCCAGGTCAGCTTGAATAGCTGATTTTCATTTTTCTTTGCAAAAGGACCTTTTCCAGGGGCCTTTTCATTGATACTTATCAACTTACCAATATTCTTAAAGAAATATCCTATAGCTGAATTTTCAAAACAGTCAGTTAAGTTCTTAAACCAGTGTGGCTTTTTTTAGTAAATAGACTATTTACTTTCAAGTTCAAGTCAATAAATACATAGCTGTACTCACCAATTTCCCAAGCGTGTTATTTTTGCTGATGGAAATATATATTTCAGCGCAGCAGGTACATTTCCAGAAAAAGCTGGCAAGACTGAAAAACAATTATTCATTATTTAGAAGTTTTAATTCCAGAGATGGACTCAAACCAAAAGAATAGTACTATTATTATTTGTCTTAGATATTTTGTAGTTTGCATGAAGATAGACAATAATTTATTACTGATAGGTGGAAGACTATAATAAATTAATAATAGTGATGTAACGGGTACCTGGTGTCATTCCAAGCTCATACATTCTGTTAAGAATTTTCTTCTGTAAGATTAACTGTTGATCAAACCAGCTTTGTGGCAGTGGTCCACCCCATCTAGAGTTGCATTCTCAGTCAAAATAAATTAAACATTCTCTAAAACTATGACATCCTGATCTAGGGAAAATGACAATGAAACTCAAGGAATAGAGGAAGAGCTTTTACTAAAAGCATCAAACTTGACAATTTCACAATGAAACTTAGGTTTAAGCAATTACAGATGCATTATTCTAGTTTCAACATAAATTCTTCGAATATTTAAATTTCACTTGTCAACCTTTAGCTAGAAACATTGGTTATTAAAGTGAAAAAAACAGCCTGTGAATTTTCTACCACTCACCCATGTAAATTCCCCATGCGTGACCATGCAAGAAATGCGGGGCCTCCAAAGAAGTCATCCAAATCAGAAATGCTCATGTTAAATTTCTCCTGTAGGTTGGATATAAAGTCAGCTATGAACTATCCAAGCAATATTTCATGGAGAAAGATTAAGCCGTACAATACCCAATATTACTGAGCTTCTGGTGTGATAATTTGAATAAACAACCCAATGACAGAACTATGGTCCAGAATCAAGCTGTTCATCTTTATTTCTTTATTAGCATCAAATGGTCAACAAAACTACAATTTAGAAAAAAAGGCTGATTAATTTAGTCCTTTCTATTATCACCAATTTAGTCCCCGGAAATGTCTAAATTGATCGCAAGTAGTGATTTTCATTCTTCAAAAACTACTGAAACCGACCCCAGATCCTTTAGGGACTAAAATGGTATTTCATTATCTCTTTTTACTATAAAACCCTTAGAAAGTTTTGGAATGACAATCTGTGTTTGGTTACAGGTTGAGTCATTCAAAATCACATTGAAATACGACTAATATTATTTTAGGTAATGTTCATATGTCCGGTCTTGAAGAATTGAATCTAGTTCAAAGTATTTTTTCGTTACCCAGGATATCTCTAGCCGAAAGGTAGAAACTAATCGCTCCAGATACGGAAATCCATATAATGGACTAACCTTTCTCAAAAATGAAAGATTACTGAAACCGTGATCACGTGCTTAAGGAGTATACCCGTACCCGTGAACACATGCTTAAAGAGTATAGTTACTTGCCAACTATACTACACTATGTTAATTTTGAGTTGAAACAACTACGTAGTTTTTAAGTTTGATAAAAATACTTATACCAAGTTTAACTAGTAACTTGCTTTTAGAATAAAAAAAATACCCAAAAGCTTCATTCAACATCAATTCAAATAGTACTCAAGTTAATCTAAAATGAACTTTGTAATAACTCACAACACAGTGAATGTTATAATGCCGAACCCACACCATGAATTGTTTTTAATGCAATTTGGTAGGAAAACGACCTGGAACACTTTCTGCCAAATAGCCTCTTGCCCCGTAAATGCAAGTGGCAAGTTTACACCCTGCAGAGCCATCCAGTCAATTTCCCTTTCCCATCTTTGCCAGTCCCACCAAGCGAAGGAATCTTCCAGAACCAGATAAAGCAAAATGAGACCACAAGATGAAAACGGAACGAAATCTTGTGACGTCAAATTCCACATGACGAAGACTAGAAAAGAAGTAGCTTACAGCTGGACGTAACAGCGTTTTGGTAATAGCTCCATGGAACAGTCCTCTGAACAGAAACCCCAGCGTGGTGAACGCGCGGGAGAAACCCCGCATTGGGCACGGAGAATAGTTGCGAGCCACCGGTTTTGTCCCATGATATGTGTGAACCGCACCAATGCTTCAAATACCAGTGTAGACCAGCCACAATGTCCACTCCGGTTGTGCCTTCAATCCTATTTGGAGATTCAAAATCATCGCAAGTTCCATCCAATTAGTAAAGAAATGCTAGCAGTAACAGTAAGTAATTAGTAAAGCCATGTTGTATTCAATGGCTACTAATCTCAATTCTTCAGTAAAAGACAATATTGTAAGTAATTAAGTTTGTTAGTAATTTTTTTAATTTGGTCTCTGACTTAGTTAAAAATTATCTAATAGTTCTAGCCTAGGTAATTATGAATAACTAGTATTTTAATCTTAATTATATTAATAAAATATAAGGATTTTTTTAAAATTTTATATTTTATTTATATTTTAACAAATATAAAATAATAATTTTTTAAATAATTTATCGATTATTTACTTATTATAATTTAAAATAAAAGAGTTTAATTTGTATCTATGCTGGTATAATTTTTCTTTGCATCGTTAATTAATTAATATAAGTAAGTCGCAAACAACACTTATAAAACAGTATGTAAATTTATTGAGTTAATTCAAAGTGTTCTAAAGAACGACATAACACACAGAAATGATCCAAATGAAAATACTCGTTCACTTTGTTAAGAAATTCACAAGTAAAGACGTACAGTATTTGAGGATCCCCCGGTGTCGTGAAAGAAGGATGGTTTTTGATCATGAAGCAGTATTCGCCACCGCATTGCTTCTGTTAACAAACACTCAAAAATATAAACAACCACTTCAATTAGGTCAATAATCAACGGCAATTAAGCAAAAAATAAAAAATAAAAACAGAAATGCCTTGGAGACGATCCGGAAGTGGAAGCTGGAGGAGTGAGACGGCAGCAGGCGGCGGAGGACGGCGCGCGCGGCGGCTTCCTGGACGGAAGGAGAAGCTCTCTCGCGGTCCTGGATTTGAATAAGGCGGGAAATGGAATCGGCGGCGGTGGATGAAGCGAAGGAGAGGATGAGGATGAGAAAAATAGCGGGAAATGGATTCTTCATTATGCGCTGTGGATTTGGGAAGTGGAATCGGATAAAGAAGATGAAGAGAAAGGAAAGGAAAAGATTCCGTTGGAAGGAATTTCATTGGTGCCGCCGGAGGTAGTTTTGTCCCTTTCTTTCTTCTCAGTTTGTTTTCTCATAAAGAAAAATGATTACGTCAGGGTAAATAAAAAATGGACTCATCATGATTTGTCTTGTTCTTATTCAAATGCATGAGATAAGATTGTGTGGATCGAGTTATATATTTATCTGCATCTTAGGCTTCAAAAACATGAGATAAGATTGTGTGTGTGTGTTAGCATATTTCGATAAGTTTGTGTTTGTTAGTCAGGTTTCAGGTTAAATATAGTTATTGTAGTATATCTTTTAAGAGATGAATTGTTGTTATATGGACTATGTGTGCCTTGAGTGAGTATAGAAAGTTGAGCTGCAATAGTCCGAAGTGGGTATTACTTGACAAAAGTAACATCACATGATAGTTGCTTCTACATTATTAGTGTTACTTGACAAAAGTAACACTAACTCAAGATCTCAATAGTCGAGATAACTCTGAAATAATAGTTTTCAACTTACTATTTTGACGGAAATAACAATAATTTAGGAGTTTGAAAGTCAAAACAACTCTTTAAAATAATTGGTTCCTAAATCAGTATTATTTGACAAAAGTAATTTTGAGTTAAGAGCTTGACAGTTGAAATAACTGTTCATAACAAGATCTTATTTCAAAATCTTTACCTGTCAAATTCAACTATCATGCTCAAGTTTAAATTTATGTACTTTTATTTTCTTTTTCCTATTTGAAAATTAGAAGTGTAGTGATAAAATGTAGTACAAATAAATATATAGTTTTGAATTTCTATTTGAAGTTGCATGAAAGTGGTTGATTAAATTATAACTTTATCTTATTAACTTTATTGACTAAATCCTAATAAAGACTAAGTACAAATAAATTAATTATAACTTTAGGGTTTAGGACAGTGGTAGATTTCTCGTTAACTAATTGTCGTCTTCATCTTAGGATAGATACCATTTACGAGTTTGATACATTTTACCCTCTCACCATCGGACAACCTCATCAAACTTATAATTGATAGTGAGGGCAATACCACACAAGTTCATCAAACTTGACAACATACTTCGCCACAGTACCATCTCCTTGTCACAACTCCATGAATTCCATTTCTTTTGACTCCACACATCATCAGGAAAATATTTTTCTAGAAAGGTCATCTTAAAGTTATCATAGTTGAGAAGAGTGCCAACAATCACCATCTTTGCAAAGCACCCCCCACCAATGGTATGCATCGCTAGTCAACATGAAGGTTACAAGGTTAACCATTTGAATAAATGAGACACTCCATAGTCTTGAAAATTTTCTCTACCTTATAGTTGCATCAGGGTCATATCCTCCCTTAAATGTGGGTGGATGATGACATAAACACCTCTCCAACTAATTAGGTGTGGCACCAGCTTTTATCGCTTGTGCTAACTCTTAAAGAGGATTAGCATAAACGCGATCGTTTCTATCAACTAATATGTCAACACACAAAATAATTATATTAAATAACACTTCAATTAACCACATAACTCAACTCACTATCCAAGTACACAAGAAATCCCAATTATGACATATAACACATGTTCGGTTTAAATCAACTAGGTTTTGATACTACTAAATGGGAAACCTTCTATCCTACATATTAGCCTAGCATATAATTCAATAATTATAAAAAGAGATTTCCAAATAATTTTGTTGAATAAGGTAAAACCTCATAGGTAGAAGCATCACATTGAGAATAAAAACTAAACAAGTAGCAAAATCAAGGTTCAAATTACATTGATATCAAAATTAAGTCCTAACACAAGTTTAACTAATAGAATAAAAGTCATAACTTTAAACAATCAATTGAAACAAAAATTTCTAGTTGCTGTCTCAATGTCACATCTTATTAAAGCACACCTAGTATAAAGTCTAAACCTCGTTTCCAACTTCATCATCCTCATAATGAATCTCACCTACAAAAACACACCAAGAGACAACAAAAGAAAAGGGGAGTGATGAATATCTCACTTTGACTATTGGTGTAAACTATGGCCAAGTAACCACAAGCAACAAATACACATTTACATTTACGATCAATAGATATCAACAAACTTTCCAATAGTACATATGTCAACATATGTCATATTCACAATTTACATACAATCTTTATGTTTATGATAATGCAATGAAAACATAATATTCTAAACTATATGCATGTGACGCTAGTAAAATGATTGTCAACTATTGCCCAAAGGCCAAATTAGAGTAGCCAAGGAGGACATGTTAGGTCAAGTCATCATAACACTCTACACTAGGAGGATATAAACTAGGGTGTGTCGTGATAACAATGTTGACCAAGTTACATCCCATGTTCACAATGGACAAAATTGAAGCTCCCAAACTTAGTTATCCCTAAATTCATGAATCCTTAAGCTTTTACACAAGGGAAACCTTCCTTGGTGGCATATTCCACATTGTACCCATCACAAAACAATTGATTCACATGATGCATGTCATACCATACTCTATCCATATTCATATTCAACACAACCATCATAATATTCTCATATAACACACTTATCTATTGTATTATATACTCAACACAGCAAGCATAATCGGCTAGACAATCTCGCCCAAACTTTCACATAGATAAGCTCAACTTAGACTTCACATTATACGACCATCACATAGTGCACACACACAACACACCACATGTCTCACAATATTATTGATTGTTCTTAAACTACATGCGTACAAATCATATTACACAATTTATTCATTAAATCATCATATTTCCACTAAAAAATCATTGTACATTTACGAAGCCATACATATGCAAGAGTAGGGTGATGCTCGATGTGGGGCACTTTGCGCCTGACGTAGTTTAGGTAGAGAGTACACCATGTTCTCTAGAAATGTGTCACCCGACACCACCCTCCCGCACCCAACAAATTTACAGTATGGAGTCCTTAGATCTCCAACACCTGACATGACTTTATAGAGAGTAACCCATATTCTCTGTCATGCTTGCACTTGATGGCCACTCATGGCACATGGCGTTGTGTCAGTATAGAAGCATCTACATAAAATGCAAATTTTTGCACATATCATCCAATACCAATTTAATGAATCCTGATCGGTAAAATTAAACAACTAGCATGATTAAACAATTATAATCTATCAATTTACATACTCATGTTCATTACTTCTAGTAATTTAGTTTATTCCATCTTTAAGTTTCCTCCGAGAATCCACAAGCTCTCATAGATTCATAATTATAAATAATTATACCATTATAAACATAACTACTTATTAACTATTATAGCTAGAGCACATAAGAAAGACATAGAATGAAGTACAATAAAAAATTGAGATTTCTCCCTCATACATCATGCATACACTAAACAATATTGGGGTCCAATATCTCAATTCAACAAATAGCACATACCCTAAAATAAGACTACTTACTCTCCCTTACCTCGGTGGATACTAGACATCGCGTGCGAATCTTTGAGGTCATCTCAAGTTGCCTCTAATTATCCAAACTCTTAAGAGCACAAAAGCGTGAATTAAAAATTATGAGACACGCAAGGCAATCCCTAACATACTTTTCTTTATATAGGATACTCTAAAACTGTAACTCATGCTTAACCCATTGGTAAAAACAAATTAACCGCAGTTAATTATCCTTTCCCTATAATTTAATAATTAATTAATTTGAAACATTTCTTTTTAGATAAGAAAATAAAATATTCTCAATTAAATCGCCACCTAAATCTTATCTTTTATGATTAGATAATTATTTAAAACTTTTATTAAATTTATTCTAAAAATTTAGGTATTACATAATAAACATAGCCTATGAAATACACAAGCTAAAATACTAGTAAAAGTAAATATATTATCACAAAAGCTACGGTCATATGCTCTTATTTGTATCCTTGAACTTACAATATTAATAAAAATGAATTAATTACTATTTTTGTCTTTATAGTTATACACATTTTACTATATTAGATAGGTTTTAGACCACTATATATCGAAGACAAGGATGAGTACCAAGAGGGGAAGACTAGGAACTTGGTAAGTACATTAGATACTATTCACCATGTCTTGAAAGTGTCATTACCCAATCGAGTTATCCTCAACATGTCAGGATCCAATGCTCCATGTTAAGATGAGACTAAGAGTAACATCCAATCATTACATGATAATTAAAGGTTTTAAGTACTCTTAATTGCTTCCACGCAAATGGTAAGGTATCGTCTACTATTTATATTGCTACACTTCACCCTTAGAACAAGCTATCAATCTGAGAGATTACATATAGCTTTGAACGCTCACTAATTTAAGCATCATAGTATCTTTTGCAGATATAACCATTTATTCTAGACTGACAACTGTGAGGATATTCAAGGATGATGCTTATTCCCAACAAGTACATTTACCTTTTAATCTAATTACTTAAAAATAATCAATTATAGTCCCTAAAGAAACATTCTTAGTACCATTTTGGTTCCTATTGTTAAAAAAATAGTTAACATTACAAATGGTGGATGACACTTGACACTTACAAGTCGTTGACATGTATTGCACTTTTGGTTCCTACTCTTTACTTTCATTTTATTTTTAGATTTTGGTTGATGTACTTGTGCAACCATTACCTTTTAGTTTTCACACTTATAAATTACTCATTTTAGCTCTTATTTGAGAAATTTTTTGTTATGCTTTAGTCTCTATTAACACTTTTTTCTTTCTCCTCCCTTTTATCATTTTCCCCTTTCATTTTCTTTCGTTTCTTTCTCTTAATCAACACCATTTCTTACTTTTACTTTGTTGGTTTTACTTATTTTAAATCTTCTTACATCAATTAATTTCTATTGGCCCCAAATGTTGTAGAGGTTAGATGCGTTTCTTGGCCAAGATGTGGTAGCCTATAGGTAGCAATTTATATACTCCTTACAATGGTGGAGACTTGCTACATCATCATCATCATCATTATAGCCATAAGGGAAACTGCCCTCTTCCCTTAAGATGGTCCATCTTGCTTCTGCTTGATGGAAACTAGGGTTCAAGTCCAGACTTTTTGAAATCAAGACATGGCGGGGCCAAGATTCAAATCTATAATCTTTAGGTTATGAGCCTGATGAGTTGAGCAATTCCTCTACCACAT